TTATAAAAATTTTAGAGATAGTTATAATCAGTACCTAATTTGGATTTTGATTAGAACAACTTTACAAATATTCTGTAGCAAGTATGAAAATACAGTTCATGGAAATTTTAGTTAGATTTATTGAAAAGGAATGCAACTTATATTGAAGAAATACATTCCAAAATAACTTTCAATAGCAAATTAAAATTTTATATTGATACTGAATTTTAAAAGAAGCCTTATTTTTGTACAACAGAACATATTTATAATTTTTGCTCTTTCTGATCAAATAACATTACCTTAAACATAAAAAAATAAAGTAGAATAGTTTAATATAATAAAAAAGTAAAATTAAAGAACATCGTAGCAACTCATTATAAGTAAGAGAATATGTAACAAAAATTTTAATGCATATCACATGTGTGAGACTACATTCTACAGCTTTTAGCCAATTTCAAATTTCTTTTGAATACTTTATAAAAAGTTCACTAATTAGCATTTCATACAGAAATTCTGTTGGAAGTTTTAAAACAGACATTTTAGAAATGGTAGTCTATATTAGAAGTTCTCAAAGTAGAAGTCACGTGCTGTGCATAAACGAAACTATCCAGTAGTTTTGACACCAGAAGCTCAGTTTTGACTTCTGCCAAAGGCTTAGAAACCCATTTTTTATTATACCCAGTTGAAGAAGTAAAAAAGTCACTATAGCAATCACTATACTGTGAGGTAAAGCACTGTATAGAGGGATTGAAAAACAGAATTCCTGTACTTATCGACCACAATAATCAGCCACAAAATCACCTGCATTTATCACAGACCAGGTATATAGTAACACAGTTAAAATTATCCACAATTATGTGAGAAATTATCACCAGTGCTGGAATAGCTGTGTTAATGAACTAGCATATGCACTAAGATCCACTAAACATGATATCATAGGTAAAACCTTAGCTGAATTATTTTTTGAGGTGGGGGAGATTATAACCCTTGATAATTTTTTTTTTTTTTTTTTTTTTTTTTTTTTTTTATTGAAAAGAATTTAAGTAGGCAGACATTCAGAAATTTCTGGATGATAAAATGTGCAGCTGAGATATGGCCCATACATAAAAAATTTTTATTAAGAAAATATGTGAAGTCGGTTTTAAGGTGGGAGATGTGTACTAGAAGGAAAAGGGGGAATTTCATAGTAAATTCGAAGGTGCCCTTTTTAATCGAGAGAATTAAAGAATCAGTTTTATACTTAAAAGAAAATAATGGTGAATCAGTAAGAGTGAACATGGATCAGATAGAAAAATATATGAGCAGGCTGATAAGTCACTTGTAAGAGCTCTATTACAGAGACTCCTAAACTGAAAAAGTAGATGGTCGTCAGAAAGGTCAGTTGATTCAGAAGGGATGTTCACAATCACAAGGCACACAAACTAAAAGAGGGAGTTCTGGGAATGGAAAAAAAAAAAAAAAAAAAAAAAGAAAAATGGCCTTGGTTTGATGATGCATCAAAAAGAAAGCTACAAGAGAGGACAGGCAAGATGGAAGTAAAGGACAAGGAACATGCCAAAAGTTCAAGGTTCCTTGAGATGTCATAACAACCTGAGTAACAAACAAAGGTAGTTTGAAGGACGGTGAAGAGAAAAAGTTCCAGTGAACAATATTAGCAGGAAGCTTACACTGATGGGAAAACAACTGGTAGTTATGAAACAGATCAATGCTAAAAAAGCCACTAGACGAGAAACTAGTGAAGTTAAAAGAAAAAGGAATAAGAAAGCACACATGGATGGTAAACCAGATATTGCAGACCATGAACTGCAAATAAACTTTGCAAGGAAGAAGCCAGCACCACCAGAATACACCAAAGGTCAAAGGAAATCGATGAGAATCAGAGACTGAACTGAGAAATGGAACCAGCCATGAGATGGCCAGGATAGCTACCAGCCCTGCAGATGAATCCAAATCAACAGAACCATTAGTTATCCCACATGAAGTAAATTTGTAGAAAAGAGGATGGCTGATTTTATCAAAAACAAAAGATAAAAATCTACTTTAATTCTTCCAGTAGAAGTTTATTTTATGTATGTTAAAATATGTGTACGATGTAGCTAATATACTGATGTTTTACTTTACATGAGGATATTCAAGTTAAGTACAACTAAGAGTTACAAGTATATTTGTTGATGTACTCATCTATTTTTAAGAATTTTACATTGTGTGTTAAACACAATTATGTTAATTCAGAAGTCAAACAACAAAAATCAGCAATATATTTTCAAATTTTCACAGGACTAGTTTTGATGGTTTTACCAAACCACCATCCTCAGCTGCAAAAGTGCAAACGAATGAGATAGGATATAATGATTAGACAAGATAAAGACAGCCTAAACAGAAGGTAAACTAGTGGTGCCATCTGTTGATGAAACCAGAACTAAAACCTAATTTCTTTAGATGGATTGGAATTAGGATCAATAACTAGAACAGAAAGATTTTTTTTAATGTGAAATGCCTCTAGAAAATCCAGTTCTCCAATGGAAGATGTTTTTTGAATAGTTTTGGTAGCAGAAAAATTGAAAGTGTGATTTTCAGACCAACAAATGTTGGGCAACAGAAGACTTCTGTGTTTCCTTTTTTCTAACATATGCCTCATGTTCCTTAATGCGAAATTTTAAGGCTCTCTTAGTTCAATTTTAGAAATTAAAAATCTTCTCCAAAGTTATTAAGACCTTTGTTTTTGATTAGTTTAAATTCTAGTGACGAAAAATATATGATTTCATGTTAATACCAAATTATTATGATTTGAAACTTTACTATAAATTCTTCTGTACATAATCCTCACTAGAATGCAAATTAGTTAATAGCCAAAGCTCTGGATGTTTTAGAGGTATGACAACCTTGTTTGCAGTTTATGCCATAATGCCAGCTTTGCCTAAGTTTACTCGGGCTTTAGCCATTCTACAAGGCAGCATTAAAAATTTGCCACAAATTACTTCAGCGAGCTTAAAAACATTACTTTGCGTATTACTTAAATTTAAATTTTTTTTATTTTAAATATCCATAAGTAATGGAATTTTGTTCTGTAGCACAAGTTGTGCTTTATGTTTGTTACATTTCAAGAATCACTAAAAAATGCTGCTTTAACCCTCATAACATTTTGTCACTTTGATTCATATTACAGCAATAACTCACTTCTCAGTCTAGTAAGATCTGAGAGACATTGATTCAAACATCTATAACAGCAGAACCCTACACCAGGCCTTGGCAACCTTTTATGGCTGTGAATCAAAATCAACCAAAATGTGTATATTAACTAGACATTTTGGGTTAGTATTATTTTAACTTCAGAATAGTCTTTTTAGGTCAAAAATAAGATACATTTTATTGAAAAAATAATTACAATATGCTTTAAACTTTTAACAAAAAATTAAAATTATAACTCTAATTATTATAAAAACAAACATAAATTAATCAACTTTACTAAATAAAATTTCCTCCCTTCAATATCAAAGGCTACCCTGATGCTAAACTTGTGTGACATCAATTTAGTTAAGTCTGGTTTATAGTTAGTTGTCTTAAGATGAATACAACCATCTTAATTTTTGGTAGCTTAAATGCTCCTATTCTTCCTTAAAATAAATTTCCTGTGTGAAAATATTTGCTTACATTTTAAGTTGAACCAATCCATACTTTGAGCTATTTTTTTTAATTATGGACTATGAATCGGTGTTGCCAAACTTACCCATTTATCCTTGAAGCTATAATTCTTATGTTCTAAAATCAGCCACCCAGATGGATTTTAAGTGGTTAGTGACTCTGACTGCTGTACCAAAGGGCCTGGGTTCGAATCCTGAGAAAACATGAATGTGAATTGTCTGTCCCTTCAAAGGAGGCAACGATGGTCACCAACTAAGTGCTTGCATAATAAAATGATCACTGCTTCTGACCTTAATAGTGACCAAAGCCTAAAATTAGTCTCTGCCATTAAAAAAAAGTTCTAAAAATTAAAATGCATGTTCGTTACTGTAATTCTGTAATCAAACAAAAATGTTATTATTTTTTGGTTATTATTGTGTTATTATTCTTGTATGAATTCTTTAAGTGCTCATTTCATATTTATGTTTTATAATTTATTTTTATGTTTGGAACTCAAGTGGACCACTTGAAATTATAAAATGGGCCACTCAGTGACCCGCAGATCATAAGTTGCCATTGCCTGCCCTGCACCGTATGATTGAAAAATGAACTTGACCCATTCGAACACTTCAAACAAAAACTCTCTTTTATGTAATGAGTCTTGCTCTGCAGATTGAGTCTAAAAAAGTGTCATTTTTCATTCTACACTTTCTTCATTCTTACAGCTGCAAATAAAAGCTCTTCAACATTTCGTTTCCTCACACTATGTTTAGATTACCTTTACACACACACGTGCAAGAATTTTTAACTCCTTAACTGCCGCGGGCGTATATATACGCCTTGCTCAGCCGATGCGTTAACTGCCCCAGATGCGCAGCCGATGCGTTAACTTTGCGAATAATTTTAGGTGTAGCAGCGCAAAGCAAATGATAGCAGTTTGGAAGAACGTATATATACGCCTGGGGCAGTTAACGCATCGGCTGAGCAAGGCGTATATATACACCTGCGGCAGTTAAGGGGTTAATCCTATTCCATTTTTTTTTTCATCAATAGTGATTGAGGTTCAGATCGTAAATAAACTTACTACACATCTCTTCTACATGAAATAATTGAGTTGAAACTTTTAAATTAAAAGTTTTCTATATTTCAATATACTTCTTTTGGATGGATCATTTTCCTTTAAAAGATACTTAAAATATCCTAATTTTGTCATTGCAGGAAAGTTTTCAAAATAAATAAGCTTTTTCAAACTATACATGGAATGTTTTTATTAATTTCAGATGAACTAATACTTATTTTTAGTAGTAAGATCTCTGTTCTTTAAACATAACTCTAAAAAAAAACATTATACCATATGAAGTATTTGACTGAAATTATCAAAACAAGGTTGCTGTACTTGCCTGAAATGATTCAATAAGCTTGTTATCCTTCTTGTTGAAAAGGTCAAAATTATCACTGTCTTCAAATAAAGATTTTTGAACTTTCTTTTGCGTGGTTGGAGGCGATGTAATATCTTTCTAAAAATAAATATGCCATATTTTACAAATGAAACAGAAAATATACGCCAATTTAATTAGCAGTTTGCCAAATTTTCTTTTCAATGACACATTCCTACACATTTTATTATTATTATTATTATTATTATTATTATTATTTTTTCATTTCTATGGCAAATGATATAGCATAATAAGAAATAATGCCTAAATATAGCTTGTGGAAATTTTAAAAGACCTTATAATTTACAATACGTTGCTCCACTTTTGTTTTCTTTTTTATTTTAACAGCATTCTGACGCTTTCATAAATAAGTTGATTTTAATGAAGCTCACAGAATAACATAACTTACAGAATTTTTAACTCCTCACATAAATATAATGTTCAAGACTTAAGTCACCAAAATTTGTTTGCTCTTGAAGAAAAATGATCTTGAAAACAATAGAGTTTTATTTAAAATATATAAAAATGCTCTGCTTACCACTTTAAAAAAATTATTTCTACATACATTATTATTAACCACCTATTTCTGCTAATGTGCTTTTGCATTTCTAGATTTTCATAAAATGCAATGTAAAATAATAATTCATGTCCTTTTGATCTATTTATTAGAAAATCTAAGCTAAATTACAATTATATGGAAAACAAAATAATTTTTTTAAATAATTTTTTTAATGGATGCAAATCTCCTTCCTTAATAAATAATTACTAGGACAGTACTCTCTCTGTATTGAGGTTTTTAGTAATTTGTGTGCTTGTACTTTTTTCATGACATTCACCCTGTTTCTCACAACAGTTGGCTAAATTCTATAAGGTATTATATGTAAAATGAGTAACCATGAACATATGCATGATGGAATGCGATGAAGATTGGAGGCAGGCCAATAATAAACACAGGTGGCTGCCAAGCTCAATGTAATGCTATATGCTGCCACTGAAACTTGAGTTTCACAGTCTATAATTACCAAAAGGCTTCATGAGATAGGGCTATATGCCAGAAAACCTATAGTTTGCATTGATATATATTATAATCATTATTCTCGAAAGTTAAATGTTAAAATTTATTGCTATGCAACTTTTGCTTCAATAATTACTATCAATAATCTGAAAAAATTCTATTTTCAGATGTAACATGACTTAACAACTAAATTACATGAAAAACTATGGTTTAAGTGGCTTCTTTGAAATGATGCTGAAAACTCTGAAGCCATTTATTAATTATCAGTAATGTTGAATATTAAAAATTCTTGAAGTTAAATTTAATTTTCTTCTTGATTTAAGAACTCTGCCCTATACTTCTAATTAATTCTTCTATTAATAAAGAACTCTGAAAATTACATTCAAATTGATAATATTTAATATGGTGAATGAAATTTTAAATAAAGAAAACAAACCTTTACAGGTTTACTGAATAAATCTTCTGAATCTTGTAAAACGGACTTGCTTGATGATGTTTCTTTAGCTTTTACCTACATAAATGGTAGAAATGATCAAACAAAAGAAAAATATCACTCATTCATTTCATACTGAAGTATATAATTTAGAAATATAAATGCAATTTAAAATTGTTATTTATCTTAATTATATGTGTGTGTACATTAAATAACTATGAAAGATACAAGGATAGAGATATAAAGAGATTTATTGAATTAAAAACACTCCAATTAGAGAAGAATTGCCTAATAATACATCTGCATTTATTTTTTAAATTTATTTTTAATGTTATTGAAATTTTAAATAAAAAAATAATCAAACCTCCACAGGTTTATTAAATAAATCTGTTGCTTCTTGTGTGGCAGATTTGCTTGACAATGTTTCTTTGGGTTTCACCTTTTTTTTGAACAAAACAGAAGATTATTAAACAAGCAAAAATATTACACTTTCATTTCAAGTTAAATTATACCATTAAATTACATAAGTCAAGAAAAAATTTTTACCATTATTTTAATGGAATTATTAACATATAAAACATCAGGCTCTAGCAAAAAAATGGGTAGAGATTCATAAAGATTTATTGAATAATATATATTGACTTTTGAAAAGAATATTTAGTTGATAGCACTTATTTAGGTTCTTCGTTTATAAATAAAGTGCATAACTAATACAAATGTTGTCATTCTAGGACATTGAAATTACTAGACTTCACACTATAAGGTATTTTCTCCCTCCTTCCAGCATACCTTCATTGTGTAATAGTTAGCACACTCGTCACATATTCGAGTGGTCCAGGTTCGAGTCCCGCAAGGGCATTGCTCATTTTTTGTGTCTCATGCTTCAAAATAATCTGATGTTTCTATAGTGGTGCCTGAAATCAAAGGTGGTGGATGATGATTCTTCACCACCAACATTTGGCGATTAGATCTGATTCCCAGGCACCTTTTAAAAAGGGGAGTATATAAGGTACTTTCTCCTTCCTTCCAGCATGCCTTCATTGTGTAGCGGTTAACACACTCTGCACGTATTCGAGAGGTCCAGATTCGAGTTCCAAGGAGGGCATTGCTCATTTTTCATGTCTTCTGCTTCAAAATAATCCTGATGGCTCTACAATTTTATTTGAATTCCTCAGATAAAATAATTATATTTGAATATTGCACATTATGGTTATAAAAAGCACAATCAATGTAAAGCTCAAAACATTCGGTACCATTTAAAAATATCAGTTTCATTTGTCTTAAATGAACCTAAATTAACAAGAAAATATAAAGAAAAAACGAAATTAATACCTTTTGTTAATGAATCATGGCACAATAATATAAAAGATTATTTGTACAAATTGTCAAACAGAAAGCCTGAAAGTCTGAGGTCTATTTAATTTAAGGGGAGAATCCTTTTCACTGAAATGAAAAGAAGTTAAAAAAATTACAATTTTAATATTTAAATCTCACTTATGGCCTTGTAAGCTCTAGCGATGTGCAGCACAGTAAGAAACTTTTCAGAGAAATACAGTTTTTTAGCAACTTTTGAGCAACAGTTGCATTCAGCAATTTGTTTTACATATGTACTCACAATATTTTAGAATTCTGGGGAGGAGAAAAATGCGTTTCATTTTGCATAGGAAAGGAAGGCTTTGTTTCTTTATAACACTGGGTTGACAACTAAGTGGTTGTGGATTTTGTTAATAGATGGTTTTTATTTCATTATTTCCAAAAAAGGAGAAATGCATCACAAGCATATATGCATAATTTATCACAAGCATAAATTACATGCCGCATATAAGAATGAAACCTTGAAAGGAAGCAGCATAAAAATTAGTGCCAAATTTCATTCTGGTGATTTTACAGAACCATATCAACGATTTATTAACTATGATCATCATAGCAGAACATGTGAGATTGCAGAGAAGCTCAATGTGTCACATAGATGCATTAAAATAATAGAACTTGGCTGTATTAAGAAATTCTATTTATGAGTCCCTCATCAGCTCAAGGAAATTCATTTGATGCAACACATTAACATCTGCAATTAACTTCTGAAATGCAATGAAATTGATCCATTTCTGAAACAGTTGATTACTGGCAACTAAAAGTGGATAGTTTAACAATGTAAATTGAAAAAGATCATGGATGAAGCAAAATGAACCAGCTCATACATCATCAAAAGCAGAGATTCATAAAAAAAAAAAAAAAAAAAAAAAAGATATGTTGTCATTTTGGTAGGCTTATAAAGGAATTCTGCATTCTCAACTTTTACCAAGAAACTAAATAGTTAATTCAAATGCCTGCATTCAACAACTAATAAACTGAGCTACGCAGTTCAAGAAAAGTGGCCAGAATTAGCAAATTGTAATGGTGTTGTTTTCCAACATAATAATGCAAAGCCCTGCACATCTTTGGTCACTTGCCAAAAATTATTGAACCTAGGTTGAGATGTGTTGCCACATCTACCATACAGCTCTGACCTTGCACCTTCATAATTCCAATAATTTCGTTTCATCCAGAACTCCTTAAAAGGTAAAATTTTTAATGATACTGATGATGTAAAATATCATTTAACTCACTTTTCTTCTCACAAAAATCAGAAACTTTATGAACATGGAATTATGACCCTGCCTGAAAGATGGCAAAAAGCTATCAACAAAAATGGAAAATACCTAATTTAATAAAATTATACTTTTCAAGTAAAAATTTTGAATTTTCCTTCTTATTTAAAATTTGTAATCACTTATTTGCCAACCCAATATATGTCCTGGTTGTCTTCCTTTGTAATTTGGAGAGGAATGAATTTCTCAGAAAAGTTTCTTATCAAATTTCATGTTAAAATATCTGATACATTCCCCAGAGGAAATGAAAAAAAAAAGCATTTTTTAATTCTTTCAGTTCTGCTTTTACACTTACTCATACCAGAACAAATGTAAACACACCTGAAAAGTGGCTCGCTTTTCTTTTATTCTTGTCACTTTGCATAATGCATCCAACTCTGACTAATGTCACATATGCCATATCTACTAATTTGATATATACAATTTTATCATGCTCCCAATTTTTTTAATTAAAAGAAATAAATGATTTGTAAGATATAAAGTGCCTATTAAGTAAGACTGGTACAAAACTTACTAAAATACTATAAACTAACTATGCCTAATATTATATTTTTATAGTAATCCTAATGATGAGTACAAATGTGCATATAATAATATGGATACACATATGAGAAAATTTATTATAATTACAAAATAAAGAGCATAATACATTTTACTATTACTTTAAATAATGTTTTATTATGCTTAATTTATCAATTTAAACATATTGTTGTGTTCTACGGCTTCATGAATTTGAAGTAATTGATAACAACACTTGATGCACTGTTACACAGAGCAATTCCAAAGACACGCTTACACTCGTCAAAAAACTATGACAAACATGCTGAAATAATCAGCAACATAGCCTTCAGGCTATAACAGTGAAGACAGCTTCCCTGCAAAGTACAGCTACCACTCCGTCAATCACGCTCAAGCTAATCTCTCAGCTCAAGATACTATCTTTACTCTGTTTAGAGTCAGGGTAATATATAGCTTTTACCTTCTTTCGAGAATATTCCCGAGTAAACTGCTAAGAATGCATTCTATAATGTTCTCGCTCCATCCATGGCATATCCCCAATTATGTCGCCACATGTAGTAAAATGGGCGATTTCCCCCAAATGCGACAACCCTGCCACTTTCTGGCAATGCTAACCCCACTTTGCAGGGAGGCTTTCTAACCATAGCTGGGCATTTCACAATAATATGTTACCAAAATAAGGCCTTGTTATTATGTATGCTGAGTTCTGGAGTACATTACTTATTTATACGGATGCTTTACTGTAACTCAGTATTATTCTGAAAGGTACATTTTAGCTTTTTATGGTAATAAGCCATAATTCCATTTTGATGCATATCAACTTATGACTCCAGTGCTTTTCTCTCATAAGCTTAATTGTTAACATAAAACTTTTGTTTTTCACTTCACAGTTTTCACACTTCTTCACTGCAACTTATGACATAATGAATATTATTAAATCTTAGCAATTCCATTTATTAATACAAAAGCATGAATTCAAGAACTTTTAAAAGACATTATTCAAGAATTTTCCAAGTTCATTAAACTTCTAGAAGTAATTTAATACATGATTTCACCAACTGTGCATTTCAATGTGTATTTATTCAACAAAACATTATAATAATGTATTTAAATTTTTCAGATTTAGTTACTATTTCACTTTGAGGAGAATGTTTTAAACTACTTGGCACTTTTTTACATGCTTTTTAAATTAAATTAGTTATTATTATCACCATTATCATTATTTCAAACAACTTTAATTCTCTACATTCATCAGCATACTTTTGTATGGGTCTGAAAAAAAAATTGAATTTTTTTTAAGAGCTAATGTGAATTATTCAAAAAATAATATTCATAATCAATGCAAGTTCAAGAGAAACAAAAAATACTATAGAATTTTTCCCTGATGTTTTAAATACATTTTAAAGTACCCTCAATAAAATAAAAATTAATAAAAGGGTCTTTAAATGTAAAAAAATAAAAGAGTTATGAAAGATAAAGATAAATATAACGAAGCTTTTAAATATAATGAAGGTTTAAATTTGTATAAAAATAATCAACATAAATAATTTTAAAGTAATCAAATTTGCAAATATTGCATGCTGCTCAGTTCTTTTTGCTTTATATAAATAAAAATGTGATTTTGCATTTAAATATTGATAAATTAATGATAAATTATCAAAAGCAGTTTCAACAATGAACAAACAACAAAGACTATTTTATTTATATGAAATACAATACCTTACTTTAGCTACATTAGGCAATGAATTCTTCATAAGACAATTACTGCTCCTTTCCCTCCCCAAAACCTTGACAATGATATTTTAATAAACTGTGATGTTATCAAGACATTTTAATCATAAGTACTTAAAAACTTATCAAAATTTCAGTTTGGGGAAAGGTACTAAACTCAAAAAATGCATGATGCACATTCTTCCTAATTTACAAAATAATAAAAATGCAAGTAAATTCAAATAAAGAACATATCAAAGTTGATGTGCCTTTTTATAAAACAAAGTAGATAATTATGAACACAAACTGTAAGATTGATGACATTTTTCGAAACATGCAAAATATAAAATTGAAAGTCTCAAATGATTCCCCCTTTAACTTTGGAAATAATCAAATTAATATTTACTGCAAAGCAAAACAATAAATATTATATAACTAATAATTAATTTTTATTTATAACTATAGATGTCAATTATATTAATATGTAATAACAATGTACAATAAGGATAAGTTGCTCAGATGAAATAATATTAATAACTTAATAAATAACTCAAACTCTGCAGAAAATATACTAAAATTTAGACTACTTGAAATAACCCTGTTTATCTTTTACTCAAAATATTTAAACAAAATTGAAGCGTTAGTTTAAAGTTTGATTAGAATTATTAATAATACTGTACAAGAAAAATAATTTTAGTAATATTCCATGATTTATAAACAAGTCAAATAATTATACAAAAAATCTCAATATACTGCTTGTTATTGGATTCTCATTTCCAACTACAATATGCATATACATTTTATGCCTTACTAATACACCCAATTCACTAATTTCCCTCCTCTCTCTACAAACATGACAGGAAAGAGTAAATTCTCTTTTGGTGTGTTGTGTGTATTGAAGTTAAAGTTATGAATCAATAAACCACCAAATTAAAATGACAAAATTTCATTAAAGGCAATTAAACAATTAATATTATACACAGATTTTTTTCAGATGGAATGTAATGGTAAATAAAATATAAGTTAAATAAAATGCTACATAAAGGAAAAAACTAAAGCAATTTTTTGAAAGAGGATGCTAAAAAAGTACTTGATTGAAAATATCATCTGCATCATCATCAGCAAACAGATTGATTGCCTCTTTCTTTTTTGGAAATGAAACTGGGATAATTGGTTCTTTAATTTCCTATAAAATGCACATATAAATTACTTTAAAAATATGTGAAGTATTAAAAAAATATATTACCAGTTGTTTATTATTGTAACTGACAGTTAATTAATTATTAATATTACTAACAGCTAATTACATCATTACTAAATGTCAATTTTAAAAATTATCATCATGATTAAAAATATGAAGAAAGATGAATCTCTATTACAAACTCATACCCAAAAATAAAGAATTAAAAAAATATTGCTGACTGCAGCTTTGTTGAAACTAGTCTAACAATGTCAAAGTACTGTTGATACAATACATAGTTATACTACTTCATGTACCATTAAACTGCTAGGTGAAAGAAGGATAGGTGGGGCTCGGAACAAATTTTCTACACCTCAGAAAAGAATGTAATGGAAATCATATCATTAACTAAACTGATGTGCAGAAAAGATTTCCTATAGTTTTAATAAATCAAGATTGAAAGGCAAATTGGTGCACAAATAATTTTGACACAAATAATTTTGATTGTTGGTTTTTATCCCAACAATTGGAGGCTCTTGAAAACCCTTTGCTTTCTTTCATCTATTTAATGTATTCTTCATCTGAATTTCCACATGAGCATTTATACAATTCCTTATGAGAATGGTCTTGCATATACATGAGAAACCTGCAGATCCTTAAAATTCAAGTGAGGGAACACATTAGGTATGTGAATGAAAGGAAGTAAAAGTGTGTGTGTGTGTGTGTGTGTGTGAATATGGCAAAGCCTCGAGGGCTATCTGCCTAAGGGGAGGGATGCCTTCGTGGAGGACTTTCTAAGGGAAACTGGCTCGTATACACGTTACACATGGGGAAAACCACGAAAACGCCCATGCAGCCAGCCCGTTCGCGGGATTCGAACCTCGGACCGAACTACCAGTGTTCAGCGACTTTACCACTCGGCCGCTGGTGGGCTCTGAAAGGAAGTAAAAGAGGTCTTCAAGTATTTTCCACTGTTGGAATAAAAAACATAGTTTTCATTTTTCAAAAGCCAAAATTATTCTCACAGTAATTTGTCTCTCAGTTTGGATTTCTTAAAAAAAAAAAAAAAGATTGCAAAAATCTTTCTGAGGAATAATCCAGCTAGCAACAGCTTCTACACTTTTTCTATCCGAGCTAATGGGAAAACCTGTTTTGAGCTCCATGTCTGTACTTTTAATCTAATATTTCAACTTGCTCAAGAAGCACTATAACTTCTTCCGCATTTATCATAACAATGTTTTGACAGTGCTTGATTACTTTCAACAAAACTGCAGTCAATGATACTTTCATCTTTACTAGTGCTCTAACTTTCATGTTACTCTTTATTTATTTTAAACTGCAGAGTTAATACCTTCATATGCAGAGTGAAATTACTACAATCTAGCTATCTATATACATAAACTGAATGTGTGTCTGTCAGTCTGTACTCGATAGATTAAAAAAAAAAACCATACATTCAATTGCCGTGAAAATTTGGAAAATTATTAGGTATATCCCTAGGAATGTTTTTGAAATTTTTTTTTTTTTTTAAATCAGAGTTGGGGTTCTAGGTACTCCCGAACAAATATCCCCAAAATATCAAAATAACATTTAATTACTAATATTTGTTAAAAGTGTAACCATGAATAAATTGAAAAATTAAATTTTTACCCATGAAATTTACTCACAGAATTTACTTTTATAAAACAAATTAAACTGTAAAAAATAACATACTCATAATAACAGTTGTAATAAAAATAAAAATATAAATCACAAGGTAAATAAAATATTGAATCGTTCTATTTATATTTTTCCAATTATTGTTTGAATATTGAAAAATTATAAAATTAATTAAAATATTTTAAATACATAAATTGTGTTTCCTTTAAGATTTCAACAAATTAATTTAAATTACAAAAAAACATTAATGCATTTGACATTCGAATTTTCGCCAGCAAATTCTAACAAATACAAAAATGCAGTCAAAAAAACTTTTCAATTATTAATACGAGAATAAATTATTAATACGTGAATAAATAAAAGTATTATTGATTTCCAGCTGAAGAAAATAATTGGAAATACATTTTATTTAACCCTACAATTATGCCACCAAAGCGAAATGCCATTGGACGATCTACAAATCAAGCAAAAAGGAGAAGAGAAGAACAAGCTTCAGAAAAAAGTGAGCAGAGAAAAACTAGGCAAGAAAGAGATCGAGATCACACTGCTCTTGCTCAAGCTTCAGAAACAAGTGAGCAAAGACAAGCTAGGCAAGAAAGAGATCGAGATCATACTGCTTTTGCTCGATCATTAGAAACAAGTGAGCAGAGCAAGCAAGGCAGCAAAGGAATCAAATTCGCATACACAGACAAGAGAAGAAGAACGAAACATACTGAATTGAATTTATGAGGTTTCAATTTTACAATTACAGTCTTCATCCAAGTGTAATTATTGGAAAAATGGATAAAAAGTATATGTATTGTGGTGCTAAAAAATTTACAAATGAAACACCAGGTATGTGCTGTGCAGGTGGAAAAGTAAAGGTACCAGACTTGCGTTCACCACCTGAACCATTATTAACTTTAGTATCAGGTGAAACAAGTCAATCAAAAAATTTTTTGAAAAATATACGTAAGTACAATTCATGCTTCCAAATGACATCGTTTGGAGCAAAGAAAATCATTAGTGCAAATTATATGCCAACATTTAAAGTACAAGGCCAAATTTATCACCATGCTGTATCAACTACTACCCTTGCCAAATGCTGATCACAAATATCTTCAGATATATTTTATGGGAAATACTGACGAACAAATCAACAGATGGTGTCAACTGAATATGAGTACTAAACAAGAGATTGTTGCTGAATTACAAAATTTGTTTGAAAAACATAATGAATTAATTAAATTATTTAAAACCGCCATTGAACAAATGCCATCTGACGATTACAAAGTAATAATAAAGGCAGATAAAACACCTATTGGTCAACATCGATGACAATTCAACGCACCAGCGATCGGTGAAGTGGCAATTGTCATAGTTGGTGAAAAATTTAATTCTCGCGATGTAATTCTTCATCGTAGAAATGGTGGCGCCCAGCAAGTATTAGAAACGCATCGTTCATATGATGCATTACAATATCCCATTCTATTTTGGCAAGAAGAGGATGGATATCATTTTAATATTAATATGAGAATTCTTACAACTAATGTGGACATTAACAAAAAGGTGAGTGCTATGAATTATTATGCATATTGAACGATGATTCGTGAGAATGCTGATAATCATATATTGAAATGTAGACAATTATTTCATCAATACATTGTTGACAAAATATGTATATTGTTGACAAAAGTATGCAAAAATAAGAAAAGACTCCTCTACATATGACTAAATCAAGTTAAATTGCATTCTGAAGAGTACATCCATTTACGTGATGCAGTTGTAAATGATGGCAATCTCAGTGAATTGGGAAAAATGGTCATTTTACCATCCACATTTACAGGCAGCCCAAGACACATGCATGAATATGCACAAGATGCAATGATGTATGTTCGTGCATATGGCCATCCAGATTTTTTCATCACATTTACATGCAACCCAGCATGGGATGAAATAAAGGAGCTTTTATTAACTGGACAATCACCATCAGATCGTCATGATATTTCTGCATATGTATTTAAACAAAAATTTAAATTTTTAATAGATTTTATTATCAAACACCATGTATTTGGAGAGATGTGCTGTTGGATCTATTCCACTGAATGGCAAAAAAAAAAGGTTTACCACATGCGCATATTTTAATATAGATGATGGAAAAGATAACACCAAACTGAATTGATGAAATCATCTCTGCAGAAATACCTGACACTGAAATTGATTAAGACTTACACGATATTGTCTCAAAAAATATGATTCATGGTCCATGTGGCTCACTAAATAATAATTCACCATGCATGTCAGATGGAAAGTGTACAAAGCGGTATCCTAGAGCTGCTGAACTTGCTGAAACTATTACAGGCAATGATGGATATCCACTCTATCTACGACGATCTACCGAAGATGGTGGAAAATCCATTAAACTAAAAGTACTCAAGAATACTATTGATGTTGATAATCGTTGGATAGTACCATATTCTCCATTACTACTGAAAATGTATAACGCACACATAAATGTTTAGTACTGCAATTCAGTGAAAGCTATAAAATATATTTGCAAATATGTGAACAAAGGAAGTGATATGTAGTGTTTGGAGTAAAAAATACAACTGCATCTAACAATGAAGTCACCCAATATCAACTGGGATGCTACATAAGTAGCAATGAGGCTGTATGGTGTATTTTATCATTTTCCATTCATGAGCGATATTCAACGGTTGTTCATTTAGCAGTACATTTTGAAAATGGACAGCATGTGTATTTTACATCAGAAAATGTACGTGCAAGAGCAATGTCACCACCGCCAAAAACATTAACTGAATTTTTCACAATGCCAATGCCAATGATTTAAAAATTTCGGAGTGCCTATGGTTCAAAACCATTTACCTCCACATCAGAGTTACTAAAAGCGAGCAGAAATTGGAAAAATTTGGCATAAGTGATTTACTTGATGCTCAATAGAGGGAGCCACAGGCTCGAGAAAGTTTAGGGATAGAGATGAGAATTAAAAAACTTAAGTATCATAATATTTTTATAAGTTTTTAGGTTTTTAAAATTTTTTTGTATTTATTTTATACTTTTTTTTTTTTTTTTTTTTTGGTTTTTTTTTTTAAAAATTTTTTTATACACAGTACAAACACTAAAGCAAAAAGCGGATAGGAAAGAGTTTACGATTAATAGGCTCATTGGCATGTGGCTTGTGTTGGGGAGTGCAAATAATTATTGGGATCGCGATTCTTAGGCAGATTTAAAATCTGCGGGAGATGTGATTCTTAGGTAAACAGATTGATAACTTTGCTTGAAGATCTTGATTGTAGTAGAAAAAGATGGAATAAGCAATTATATGGCAGCTCGCTGAAGAGACGTCC